TTTTATGGCTGCAATTCACCAAATGGATTTGGTCAGCTGAACATGTAATTAATGACTTCTCATGCTGCTAATTGAGTTATCCCCGCTCCTGTTGGTTGCCTCTCAGGCCTCGTCTACACCTCATGCCCAACACACAGATGTTCCCACAAACATTCGAAGCATTAAGGACTGTTTCAGTTTTATGATGCATTATTCCACAGGGGTTGGGATGGAATGGAAACAACTGGAATGTTTGCTCCATACTGCCTGCCCCTCTCTCCTCCTTCTCTACCAATCCCAACCTTGCCTTCCCAAAGGATTACACCAAATAATGCAGGGAGAACCAATGCAGGGAAGGACTGGCAAGGAGGAGGGGAGAGCTGGAGCAGAGATGGTAGTTTTCTCATCAACAAAATAGGTGGGTCCAGTGTCTGAAATGGGGTTTTCCTCACATGCTGTCTCAAGGTTACAGGACAGTAAGAAGTGACAGTGCTAGCTATAAAAACTGGCTGTGAAATAAACTTATGTGTGCAGAGGAAAGAGGTCATGTCTTATTGAAAAGAAAGTCTACCCCTCAAATACCACTAGTGTTTTAAAATTTTTAGTCGTAATTTCTCTTTGAAACGTTTGCTCATGTATGTAGTATATCTTAGCCATATCCACACATTGCTCCTTCCAGACGTCTTATGTCTGCTGATACTATAGTTTGGGGAATATGACTTACACATGTAAACTGGGACCAGTATTTTCCATATTAAGGCTCAAGTGCACAGATATATTCAAGGAATACATCATGGTTTGCTTCTCCCTCTCTTCTTAAACAATTTTGAGGCTTCCTTTATTTCTTATAAGCACTATCCTTGAATATGGGATAAACTATTATAGCAAAGAGACGTTGCACTACATTACCTCAAGTCACAGCCCTCCCTATCTGCAGTTTGTAGTTAAGCCAGAAGCCAAGGACGCCAGGCAGTTCTTCACTCAGGGTGTTCTTTTTGTCCATCTTGATATCTGCAGCACTTCATTAGAGCTGCTAAAGCAGACCACACCGGATACATTGTCTTATACAGAAGTGATGGATTCCACACACATCTGGGAGCCTAACATCCAAGTGGAGATTTCATGAGGGTTCCTACTGTATCCTTTTCTCTTTGCATGTAGACGCTCATCTTTTTTCTCTTTTATCCTTTTTTAAATTTACATTAGAAACAAGCTTGCTTCACATGTCAATCTCAGCTCCCTCTCTCTCCCCTCCTCCCCCGCCCCCCCAGCAACCTCCCAAACTTCCACCCTATCCCACCTCCCTTCCCTAGGAAGGGTGAGACCCTCCCTGGGAGATCTCCAAAGGCTGTCATATCATCCGGGGCAGGGTCTAGGCCCTCCCCCCCATGTGTCCAAGCTGAGAGAGCATTTCTCCATGTAGACTGGGCTTTGCAAATCCATTCGTACACTGGGGATAAGTACTGATCTACTACCCTAGGCCCCATAGATTGCTGAGGCCGCCTCACTGACACCCACATTCAGGGTGTCTGGATCAGTCCTATGTTGGCCCTCTCAGCCATCAGTCTGGGGTCCATGAGCTCCCCTTGTTCAGGTCAGCTATCTTTGTGGGTTTCACCAGCCCAGTCTTGACCCCTTTGCTCATCACTTCTCCCTCTCTGCAACTGGTTTCTAGGAGTTCAGTTCACTGTTTAGCTGTGAGTGTCTGCCTCTGCTTCCATCAGTCACTGGATGAAGGCTCTAGGATGGAGTATATGGTAGTCATCAATCTCATTATCGGGGAAGGGCATTTAAGGTAGCCTCTCCACTATTGCTTAGATTGCCAGTTGGTGTCATCCTTGCAGATCTCTGGAAATCAAATCTATAATGGCTCCCTCTATTATGTTATCTCTCATCCTGCTCTCCTCTACTCATCTTTTCTTTATTAGCTTCACAATGCCTTCCTTCTGGAAATGTCCATGTACTAATTTCTTCCCCTTTTGATGACATTAGTCCTATTATATTAGACCTTACTATTAATGATCTCATACAGCACATGTCCTCTTCAAAGACCTTATCTCTGGATACAGCCACACTCTCAGGTGCTGGAATGTTAGCACCTGAGCATACAGATCAGGGAGAACACAGTTTTGTGTATCACACCTCTGCATACATGTTGTCTTTGCCTCCTCATTCATGTGCTCTTTCATGGTAAGGTGAAGGAGAGTGTGCAGCAAAGCCCCCTCACTCTTGAGAACTCTAAACTGGAACTTGCCCTTGTCATTTCTACTATAGTCTTGTGCACCTGGACATAGACACATGTGAGAGTAGAAAGAATGTGGAATCCATAATTTTTATGTGTGGTCCTAGCTGAGTCTATAGAAATCCACCTTATTTATATCAAAGAATGTGAATATCCAATTGGGAACCTTCAGTTTAGATTCATTCAGTTTTCAAATATTTATTGAACATTTGCTGTGAATTCATCCCATGAGATACAATTGTGGTTCAAATTGACAAGATTTTTTCCAGGGTAAGAAGCAAACAAATACATCTTTATAGTATATTAAATAGTGATTCATATTACAAAATAAGTCATCCTGGAGAGGTGGCTTAGCAGTTAAGAGCACTGGCTACTCTTCCAGACAACCTAGATTCATTCTCAGCATCCATATGGCAGCTCGCAACATCTAAAGTCCTGCTTTAGGGAATCCACCCTCTGAGAGTACTTGTACACATGGAGTACTGGCCTCTGAGGGTACTGTACATATGGTGTACTGGCCTCTGAAGGTACTGCACTCATGGTGTATCCAAACTCATGAAAAGAAACTGTCTACAGAGACTGATTGATAGGTTAGTATTTCAGTGCTGTGGAGAGACTGGAATGTTGTGGGTCCAGAGGTTAATTACCTATCTTAGGCTACTTCTAACCCTCTGGAAAAGCCATTCCTTACCCACCTCACTGTCAGAACTAACATCTGGTGATGGATAGTTAAGAAAAATCTCTTAGGACCTATTAACTTAGCTCACTAGCTTCCACCAACCTAAAAAGCTCAGATAGCATCTTGGGCCTATAGAAACATTTCCCCATCTCTCTTTAACTGCCTCTCTGCCCACTGATATATTTAAAGCTCACCTCAATTTGTGACTTTCTTTTTCTGTGAAACTATGAACATGGAACTTGGGATTATCAAAATCTGTATTTCCAGGTCATGGCCACTCACAATGGCTCCGGAATTGTTCCCTTTGGGATGCGAGCTTTGGCTTATTCATTTACAACATGAAATAAAAACAAAACTTTAAAACCAAACAAGTATCTAGAAATGGATGGGTAGAGTTGTTTTGAAGGTGTAGTCAGGACAAGCTCACTGCTAACCTGCAAAATGGGGGAAAGCACCACATGGACATAGGGGAGGATCTTCCAGGCAACTATAGTTGTCATTGTGAAGACCTTCAGGTCATGTTTGGCGGTTTTGTTTTCCTTTTGTAATCTTTGAAACAGAGTCTTTATGTGTTCAAGCTGCCTTTGAACATGTTATGTTCCCAGTGCTGGCCTTGAACTCATGAGTCTTCTGTCTCACCTTCACTAGTGCTGGTGTGTGTGCCAGCAGGTCCTGCTCTGTCTAATAGTTTTGATGAGCTACAAGGAAGCCACTGCAACAGGACACAGTAAATAAAGGGAGTGATGTTATGGAAAACTCAAAGGAGATGGCACTGGGGGTGGTATATCACAGGTCTTACAGATTAGAAAGGAATCTGGGTTTTATTCTTTTTGACTTGTTTTCAACAGGATTGCTGGCTGGACTGTGGAAAGTATGGGTGTCAAGAGGGATACTTGTTTATAGGCTATTGTAATTATCCAAGCAAGAAATGATGGGGTGTGGACAAGGGTACTAATGGTTTTAAGTATTATGAGGTGGTTAGATGATAGATATAATTTAAAAGGAGAGTTGGAATACTTGGTCAAATGATTAAGAAACATGTATGATTTCAAGGATCTTGGGATGAACATGAGTGTAGATCCCAGCTCTATAACCCCCTGGAAACAGTTTTTACCAGACCAGGCCATTTGATCCATGATGCATAGCTGGTGTGGAGTGTGAGCAAGGGAAGGGGGGGAGGCTGGCTCAGGATGTGCAGTTCTGTGGGGAGTGGGTAAGTGAAGAAGGGGGCTTTATCGAAATGGAAGCAACAGTAGAGGCAGCAAAGAGGAAAAAAATAGAGGATTAATACTCAATAGTATTCCCACCACAGTTTATTGAAGAATGGAAGTATGATGTGAAAACTTGTAAATCTTCCCCAGATGCTGGAGTCTACAATTGAAGTTTTCAAAAGAATATCAACTGAACAGGAAATGGTTCCTACACAGGGATGATAAATCTTATAACTAGAACTCAATCTGGTAAAATTTGTCTCTCAAAATTTAAAGCTAAGAGAACTCAGGGCAGTGAAGCCACTTTCTGTCCCTCTAAGAAACTACTGGAGGTGGGACCAAAACCTTCAACTGTTTTCTCTCCTTTTAGAATGGTCTACACTTGAAACCTCAGCGTTTTTGCTCCATATTTTTTTCTTTTGTTAAATTTGCATAAATACCTGCACTCTGGAGTTGGGCCGGCTTGGTTTTGAGTCCTGACTCTTTGTTTAAAACAATTATGACCTTAGGTAAATTGCTTCACCCCTCTGAGACTTGATTTTATCATTGAAAAACTGAGATAATAATACCTATCTTAGAAAGTTTTCACAAAGATTAAATGGAATAATCACCTTACAGGAGCTAATTAGTGCATGTGAATTGCTGACACACTACTGACATCAAGCAGTGAACATGTGTACATTATCCACTGTCGCCGACTGGTGTTTGTGGGGCTGCAGTCTTCTGGACCAGTCAAGCAGCCCCAGGTCCATTCCTGGAGTGTGGGAGTATGGATGAGGGAATGGCTAGCTATAGATGTTAAAGGAAAGACAGAGACAGAGGATAGTGTCAGGAGGGCAGTTCCAGTGCATACTGAATGCTCCTCTGTTTATTCATACATCATCTTACGTAACCAACCAAAGAGGGCAGAAGACTTCTATTCTCATGTATAAAGGGCAAATAGCAATTACTTCCCTTAATTCTAAAGACATTCTGCATCTGCATGTACTACTTGGCCATCAGGCTCTTCATAGCTGCACTTATCACCTAGCCTTTATGTTAAGTGTAAACTCACCTGGGCCCACCTCTATTATTATTTAGATAGGAGCCATTCACCACCGAGGCCAGGGCATCCTATAGCCATTAAGCTAATATCTCAAGGACAATAGGAGTGATTTTGAGCTCTCTGAACTTGTGGCAAGTTGGAATGGACTTCCACATACAGGTCCTGTCAATTCCCCCTCTCATTCTCACTGCACTAATCATCTAGAAGTGTGTAACTGTGTGCTTTAGTTTCTACCTCATTCTTCACTCATTTTCTGTCCTCCAGTGGTTTTTTTGGTCTTGTCTGTTTTTATCCAACTGTCAAAGAAATCAACCTGAATAGCATTCATGACTATTTCTGTATTCTTCAGGCTCCTTTAGCATACTTAGCTGCCAATTTCTTTGGTCCTAAGTAAACTATTCCTTTCTCATGTGAGTTTCTTGTCATATATTCTGTATTTCTGACCCACACTAAGTTTAACCTTCCTGCTCTTAAACCTCAAATAATGCAATCTTGGGCCTCTGATGCCTGGAACTGGAAAGGGGGTCTAGGGGTAGACAGACTCAAGACTCTAGGTTCACTTCAAGAACCATTTTTATTTTTCCCATTGCTGTTTATATATTGTTAAATAGCCACTAGGTTTAGCATTTCAGGCAGAGCTTCACAAACGGTATCTCTGACCCCTTATCTGAGTTCTTCTGTACTTTTTTGACCTTGTGGCCTTGTTTTGCCCTGGAGACATTTCTCTTAGGCTTGATCCCATACATGGAGTTTTTGCAGTCTCATTACCACATCTGAGTCAAGAGTTGTGTTTGAGTAAGAAACTGCAGACCATGTGGGCCCCAGAACCTCTCCCCTTCTCATTTTGTAACACCATGGTGACATAGCCACCTCTTTCTTGAGCTCTCAGTCATCTCTGGATTCTTTGAATGCAGATTCAGCCTATTAGAAGTAATGAAAGAATAATAGCAAAAAATATTAAATTTATCAGGATTTTAGTAGCCTGATTGTGTAAAATATTAAAGGGATTGAAACACTATAATGTACTTCAAAATTCATCTGCAAACTGTTGATTAGAGATTATTGACAAATGAATTATAATTAGAATATTCTAATGAATATATTTCTTGATGTAACTGTTCAAGATCAATAATACAATTGTGTTGAGGCCATATTCCACGTACTTAACCAATTTCCTTGAATATTTGTGTTATCACTATAAGGTAAAGCAGAGATACAAATATAAGTTAATTATAATGGCAGCCAATATTTAATATCTTGCTTTTGTTGCCTAAGCTATCATTAAGGGCACCCAGCCTTTCTAGAAAAAAATCTGTGTCTATTTTTTCTTGGGTTCTTTCCATCCTTGAAACATTTTTAGCTAGTTCATTGGTAAATTGAGCTGTTTGTATTCCCTACTGGAGAGCCAACATTCCTACCATAGTAGCAGTTATGATTCCAATAAGCATTAAGATGCCAGCAATTACCAACCCTATAAAACCTCTAGCTTTTATTACCATCAGAAATTTCCTCAAAATGGCATTTATGTTTTTCTAAAGACCATTTTTCTTTTAGTTTCATAGGAATGCATATGAAGGAGAGTTAGTTTACTATCCTGAAAGTATTATTAATACATTGAATAATTTGGCAAGGAATGCACAAAAATAGTACAATGTGTCAGCGCATTAAAAAGAAGTTTGATCAATGGGGTAAACAGTAGAAGTGGCATTCAGTTTACATGTGGTTGGAATTCAGGACACTGTCCCTCTTTGGTTACCAGGTTGTTGCCTTCTGGTGCCAGTTAACAGCACAGCTTTACCAATCCTATTGGGATCTAGAAAAGGCCTGTTGGAGAAAGCAAAAATGTGGAGCCAGTTAGAAGGAGAACAGGACCCAGACATAGATTGGGTCTATGAGAGCATTTATATAAAATCATCAATTTGAATAAAACTTTTTCTTTCTGTGTTTTTTTTAAACATGTGTTGGGGTAAGAATAAAAATTTTAATTGTCTAAAATATGTGTATGAATTGCTTTGCCAAGTTGCTACTGAGCAGTTAACCCCTTATCCCCCCTTTGATATTTATATGGAAGAAACCTGAGTGTGTTTTAAGATCAGGGACTTTTGTTTGTTTATTTACTTAAAGCCCTGTGACAGAGCCGGTGAGCTTGTTAGAAAGCTCTATTGGTTTATTTATTAATCAAGTGAGAGCTGATAAGTAATTGATTCTTAGCTTTGAAATTTTTATGTTTAAGATGTGGATAGACTAGGCAGGCAGCCTCCACATCTTGACAGAGCCATGCTTGCTGCCATAGCAACAGGTGGCAGGATTTTTAAACCATTTAATGAACATACAGCTCCAAGACAAGGAGGTCACGCAGGAATTATCTATGCTTGGTGTGTCTAAAGACTAGTCCATTCACTAAATACTTCAGCATGTAGGGTTTGAATTTGTGCCATGCTACTCACATTACGAGTATGGGGCATATAGCCATGCAAACAATAAATAAGTCTCAGAAATTTATACTTTTTGGGTATGCCAAAACTCATTTCAAATAGAGTCTTTTGGTGCCTCTTCATCCCAAGAATGCCTTCTACCACATGGGGAGGTGAGAGTGTTTCCAGTTTCTAAGGAAGTAGACTATTCTACTTCCTATTTCCAACTCAGTGTTGGTGTCATTCACTTAAGTTGATAGTATGATTGGTCAGTCTGGCTTAAAATATCACCATTTAAGAGGAAATGATTATAAGATCTACTCATAGTCTAGCTTTATTTTGAGGGAAGACCTGATACTTTAACCCAAAGATGATCTGTCTTGGTAAGTTGAAAAATTGGTAGAGGTTACGAAAGTAGTTCTCTAGGAAAGACAGTGTTCACGGTGCCCACATGGGTCACCTCTAAGAACAGGTAGAACCACGGAGCTCATCATGAGATCTCTGTCATCAGTGTGCCGGCTGCCTCCACTGATGCTCACAGTGAACACAAAGTAGTCATGATGAAGTTTGGGTCTTGGAAATGAAGTGTATTTCTAAACACATTCTAGTTAGTAGGGTGTCTTTCACATGGAATTGTCATATTTGTATAGGAAATAGTTAACATCAAAGTATAAAAACACATCCAAAAGAACAATGGGAATGTCTGATGTCTTTGTAAACTTTTCTTATACTAGGATGAGATTGTTTGTTTAATTGTTTCTCAGCATCCTAAGATACGATTACCTTTAAGTGTGATTATGGTACGCTACTGAGATCAAGGACCTGCCAAGAGATGCAGAAGACTCTCCAACGTGTGCTAAATAGTTCCCCAGTTCACTATTGATGGCAGTCCTCAGTGCCAGAAGGAAAAGGGAATTAGAGGAGGGGAGAGAAAGATGGCACAAAAAATTATGTCGCAAAGTATCACAAGGATACTGTGAAAGGAAAATGTTATTAGTCAATTCCCAAGATGTCAATAGAAATATCATAGCAGTATTTAAACTCTTGCCAATAAGAGTAAAAATGCAATGACTGCAGACAGCATCTTTGCCTGTGAAGAGACTTCACTGGTGATGAACAAGTTCATAGACAGTAACTTTTGATTCTTCCAGGCAACTGGGTTGCTACATGGCTCCATTCAATGTTTTCTAAGTGGTATGATTGGCATTGTTTTGGGCATTCACTTCTATGAAATGGCTAGCCAGATATATAAAGATTTGATTTAATATAAAAAGGAAAGGAAAGAGAAAGGGAAGGGAGGGAAAGAGAGGGGAAAATTGGTGAGTAGATGTCTCACAAATATACATTGAACAGAAAATCGGTGAATCAAGTCCATGTACTTCCATCTCACTAACCTAATGAAGCCAGCCCAGTCTGTATAGAAACACAGGCCAGAGTTTCATACTCTTCTGCTCCATTAGACCAAGAATCCTCTGTGCTGTTCCTTCCCTCAGGATAACCTGACAATGAATGTGCTCATAAAGTATATGTAGAAAACTTGTGAGAACCTTAAGAATCAGTCAAATGGGCAAGCAAGATGACTCATCAGGTAAATGTGCTTGCTGCCATAAGCTTGTAACCTCTTAAGTTAGATCCCTAGAACCCACATGGGAAAAGGAGAAGAGAATCCTACAAGTTTTCCTTTGGCTTACATACTCACAGAATGCAATCACAAGTGTACACACACACACACACACACACACACACACACACACACACACACACAAAGTCAATCAACCAATCAATCAATCAATTGATCAATACAATGTAATTTAAAAAAAAGAATCACCAACCGAGATTAGCTTAATACTTTACCTTGGTTATGCCTGATCCTGTTGCCATACAAAAATTCAGTGGTCAGCCATGTGCTTAAAGAGCCCTTTGCTCTCTGGCTCAGCATGCACTTAACGTTGTTTTATAACACCCGTATGAGAAAGTAGAGTGTTTTTTGTTACCTCCTGAGTCATACTATTTCTTCAGCCCTATGCCATTCAGGTTTTTCTGGTTGTTACTCCTACCATTCGTTTTCCTGAAGCTTGTCTCCCCTCCATTATAGTGGATATGTTTGAGAGGCTATGCCTAAGTAGTTTGTATTTAGAAGCATGGGAAACTTCACCAACCATTTAATTTAGACAATTATATATGTACACTGGGAAGCCAAAATTCACATGAGAGAAGCAAGACAGTGTGTGTGTGTGTGTGTGTGTGTGTGTGGGTGGGTGGGTGTGGGTGTGGGGGTGGGGGGTGTGTGTTGCTGCTTTTTTAATTTTTTTAATTTGTTTTATATTTTATTTTCCAGTTTAAATTTAGATAAGAAACGAGGTTGCTTCACAAGTCAGTTCCAGGTCCCTCTCCCATTCCCTCCCCTCCTCCCGTGCCCTCTCCCCAACCCCCCCCCCGTTATCCCCTCATTCCCCCAGGGAGGGTGAGGCCCTCCATGGGGGTGTCCATAGTCTGTCATTTCATATAGGGCAGGGCCTAGAACCTTCCCCAAGAGTTCAAGGTGAGAGTGCACCTCACATTGTTCTATGGGAGTCCAAAATCCGTGTGTATACTTGGGATGGGTACTGTTGGGATGGGTACTGATCTGCTGCCCAAGGCTCAATAGATTACCTAGGCCTCCTCACTGACACCCAGATTCAGGGGGTCTTGATCAGTCCCATGCTGGATTCCCAGGCTGATGCCTGGGATTCAAGAGTTAACCTTTGTCTGGTCAGCTGTTTCTGGGGGGTTAAACCAGCCCAGTCTTAATCCCTTTGATCATCAGTCCTCCCTCTCTGTTACTGGCTTTCTTTCAGCTCAGTACTTAACCAAGGGAGTCTGCCTCTTCTTCGATCAGCCACTAAATGAAGTTTCTGTTTCCCAGACTCTCTGGCCATAGGATTGTAGGCTGGTACTCCCCAGATCTATGTCTAAAATCCATATGTGTTGCTGCTTTTAAAATTAAACTACTTATAAAAGCTTGCTGTTGCACTGTTAGAAACCTAGCATCAGCCATAGGATACTTTTGTAAGATGACAAACTAGAAAGAAAAACAACACAAGAGAAACTTAAGGCAATACTTTCTGTTGCTCCACCCAAACACAGGTTTTTTTAAGAGTAGAAATATATTCTTTCTTTCCAGGACATAATTTTAATAAAATATTAGCAGAGTCAATTCTGTTCAGACACATCAGTTCTTACTGAAGGACCATGGAGGAATACACAATAACACTGAAGTAAAAATTCACTACCTGCCAGGGACCTAGAAAATGTTCCAGATGACATCTTTTCAATTTCGATTCTTAAGTGCCAGTCCTGGGAACTGGAACCATAAAGTTCCCAGAGGACATAATGACACAGGAAAACCAAGCCAGAGACACCCTCTCGTGAAGCATGGCCACTGCTGCCAGGAGGTTAATGATCACATCCTTCTTCTTTTGTTCTAACTAAGTTGTTAAAGAGCATCTGAACATTCCTTATGTCGCTAGTCGTGTCCTTTATGAGTAATCATTCCACACCCTGTGACCACATGTCACCTTTGCATTTTTTTCAGGCACATGCATAGACTGAACACCTAGTATCTTTCATCAACCCTGTCATCACCTCCTTTTAAACATGAAATAACCGTTGCTCCATACCTATTATTCTTACTCTGATACTAAAAAACAGTTCTCTTCAAGTAAGAATAATGGAAATGATTATAAAGCCCAGACTGTCTTCATTCTTCCCTTCAGAAATACTTTAGCAACTGATTTTAGGTTATATTATAAAATCAGTGCTCTACAAACCACGTACCTCTTCCATATCCTTTCGTCTAGATTCCTTTTACCTACAGATGAGCCATACCAATTTTCCTGTGACATTTCCCAATTTCAAGCTGTTTTCCACCCAAGAGAAGTTTTGTTGTTGCTGTTGTTTCCCGTTTTGATTGAAAACATGGTTTCCCTACCAAGAGCATTGCCTGATCTCTATATTTCTTACCTGGAAAAGTCTGGCCTACCTGTGTCACATCTATATCAGTCTTAGGAATGTCCTCCAAACACATTCACAATGCCATAAGCACTTCACCTCAGCACACACCACAGCCATCACTCAATTATTGCTTGAGTCATTGCATTTTTTACATATGCATCTCTATAATAAGACTGTGAATTCCATGGATTAGTAACTGTGTCTTACACAAGGGAAAATTTCTGTGACTCTATCTGGGCCAGTTTGTACCATGTGTAGGAAAAGTAATAATCAGATATGGGACTAGGACCAGAGGACAATAGATCTTGGTCGCCTTGATGAATACTTTTGACTTTATCCTAATACTAGTCACAGTCCCACAAATGTCAATGTGTGAGGTGATAGGATATGTTTTAAAGAATAAAATCTGACCATAGATGCTGTGGCTGTAATGGTAGACAGAACACCAACCATCGCTATTGTGGACTATAAAGAGTGGTAACGTGTTTCCTGTGAAACACACATCCACTTTGCATAGTGTTTTTTGACACTATTCTTATCCCACACTTCAGAGTCTAAGTCTGATGGTGAGAAATCGTTTGGCCTAGGAGACATTACCAACTGTGATGCTGTAGAGGTTACAAACTGCCTGCCAATTGGGTTCACCTAGCAACCTGAAGCTGCCGTATGCTATAAGTCTCCAAATCTCTAACTCAATCAAGCTTTACATTTCCACCACCTTGTTTATACGGGGAACGCTTCTCTTTCTCCAGTACAGTTGTTTCATACTTCAGACCATGATATCCAGTTGTTTACACTAGAATCTGGAGGTTGGGGAAAGAGCAGCACCTTGAACACTATTCTGTAAATTTCATGGAGCAATGAGTAAACGGTTATCTTTGGGAACTAACCAGCTCTAGTGACATTTCTGCTAGACTGAGGAGGAAGAACAAATGTTCAGCAGATGGGACATGTTAGAGAGAGTAGGCAGTATAAATCATGTTCATAAGTTCAAGGAAATCTCTAGTAGTTACTCTCAAGTCTCTGAAGTTTTGTAGAGAAGTCATTCAAATAAAATTTTGTTATAATTATTTCTTTTCCTAAAATAATTCTCATTTTCAAAAATTTCCCTTTATTGTAAGCCTCATCTCCAGGGCACATTGCACACAGATATTAGAACTTAACAGGTATTTTATTTGCCCTAATTGTCAGTTTCAGTAACTCTCAAACTTATGATTTTTATGGAATTGAATTTAGCTCTAGATTTTTCAGTATGTTCTTTAGTGAATCATGAAACTATTTTTTTTTTTTGGTTTTTACGAGACAGGGTTTCTCTGTATTGTTTTCGAGGCTGTCGGTCCAGCCTAGCCTAGAACTCACAGCGATCCGCCTGCCTCTGCCTCCCGAGTGCTGGGATTAAAGGCATGTGCCACCACCGCCCGGCACATCATGATTGGTCTAATACCTAATTCTCATTCAAAAGAGACTTGATATTTCTCTTAAACACATGCACAGATATTACCCTACTTCTAGAGCGCCATAGTGAGTCAATCTGGGAATGGAGTTATTGCCATGTAATAACTATGTTTCTCTGCAGTGAAGCATAGAGAAGACCCTAACACACACACACACACACACATACACACACGCACACACACACACACACACACACACACACACACACACACACACACACTGAAAGCATCTTATTTACAAGCAGGTGCAAAGCCTGCATGCTCTTAGGGAAATAGTAAACAAGAAGTTGTTCTGGTGATTCAGTGCTCATTAACTTACTTTTTTCTAGACATGATCAGAGAAGATGCATTTCACAGTATCAAGCATGACCTGAACTCAGAACTTCTCTCATGACTGTTGTCACCTCAAAGCATCTGTGGTACTCCACAAACATATAGCCTTGAGATGGTTATGCAAAATTGTCATTAGAAAATATTTATTTATTTATTTATTACATACGATTTAAGAAACAAGGTGTTATTTTATTGTCCAGATTGGCTTTAAACTTCTGGGTGGAGGTTACTCTCCCATCTCAGCCTCCTGAATCTAGGGACTGTTGGTGCTCCCTCCCTCCCCATATGAACACTTTTCCATTACCCACTGACATCATGATGTACCCAGTGCCTTCTGCCGTGATTCCTCACCTAAAAATGTGTTCTTGTTCCTTATGTGAATAGACTATAAACTACATTAATGCCATTCAACACATATAGACTTATTTCTTCTCAGGCACAGCCCCTCAGGAAAATGAAACAAAAAAATGACAGAGAAGCCTAATAGGTGTTTTAAAATCAAACCCATTATTGCTCCCCTCTCATTACTGTGTACAAACCTTGCCTCCATGTGTATCTACTTTGTTTCAAATACAAAAAAAATTGAAAATAGTACTTGGATGCTCAACTGTGTCTATAGCAATGTTTAATCTTCTGCCCACTGAGTAATGTCTGATTTGCTGATGTTAATAAAGGCTTTTTAACATCCTGGGAAGTCCTAACCCAAGACAATTGAAGATTCCAGTGAAGAATGACAGGCCAGGTAGGTTGCTCATGTGCAGTTGCTACTAGCAACCTGTGCAAAAAGAGCAGCTTCTGGGCTAAGATGTCTGGCAGGTGTTTCATGCAACAACCCATTCCTGCTCCTACCCCTCCACACAGCTTACTTTTTGAGCATGAGTTCTGAATATGTGGGGGAAAAGCAAACTTTCAAGAGGAAGATGGTGAGACCCAAGCAGACCAGAAGTTTATTGGATCTGACATCCAAGGAAGAGAATGACGAATACTGCTTGCTTATCCGCTATGATTTGAAGTGTAACATGTAACTTATACTGGGAGTGCTGAGTAAATAAGTAGGAAAACCAATATGTTGCAGTTGCTTCCACTACCTACCTACCTCCTTCCCTTCCTTCCCTTCCTCCCTCCCTCACTCTCTCCCTCCCTCCCTCCCTCCCTCCCTTCCTTCCTTTCTTATATCAGAACATCCTACTATTTATTGCTGTCCCTGTAGCCACTTGGGAGTTTACCATGATAATACAGCTATACTGAGAAGGGGTGGAATAGAGTTTTTCAAACCTAGTTGTGCCTGTCGAAGAGGAGAGGGATGAGTCCCTGTATCCCCACTTCCTGTTGTGACCAATTTAATATCTTTTTGAATTAGTTACGTGGAATTGTTAGATCACAGATCATATAGCTGTCTCCTCCCCAAATCAGGTCACATCCTCCTGTAGGCTGGCAGGCTCACTCTCTCAAGGCTAGTTATAGAGAACTGCTATGGCTAACCTAACTCTGCATCTCTCTCTCTCTCTCTCTCTCTCTCTCTCTCTCTCTCTCTCTCTCTCTCTCTCTCTCTCTCTCTCTCTCTCTCTCTCTCTCTCTCTCTCTCTCTCTCTCTCTCTCTCTCTCTCTCTCTCTCTCTCTCTCTCTCTCTCTCTCTCTCTCTCTCTCTCTCTCTCTCTCTCTCTCTCTCTCTCTCTCTCTCTCTCTCTCTCTCTCTCTCTCTCTCTCTCTCTCTCTCTCTCTCTCTCCTCTCTCCTGTGAGCAAGCCCAGAAGCCCCTGATGCCCAGACTTGGGATGGCCGTAAAATATGCAAATATGCTTAAGGCCTTCCTGCCCTGGCACATCTAATCAGGTTAATGTGTCCCACTTCAGGACCTCATCATGATTGCCTGTAGGCCTGTGATACTGTTAGCCAGGTTTCCTGGCTATAAGCCTACTGCTTTCTACAAATTATAACAAGAATGACACATTGATCATAGCTTATTGCTTTTGTTCATATAAAGCAGAAGCATAGAGATTGAGCATGCCTTTCTGTATCCACTGTATATATCATAGAATGATGTGTGTGTGTGTGTGTGTGCACGCGCGCGCACATACGCATGCGCGTGTGTGCCTGTCTGTCTATCTTCATTGTAGCCTAATTCATCTTATAAATGATTGGGAGTTTGTAAAATTGTGTGTATAATGGGGAAAATGGACTATATACTTTGTGCTTAAAAATGATATTCTTAGGTACATTTAAAATGAAGAAATGTTCTGTCTCCTCAGCTGTTAAGAAGAAAGCCAGCTTCATCACTCCAGTCCCAGGAGGTGTGGGACCCATGACGGTGGCCATGCTTCTGAAGAACACACTTCTGGCTGCCAAGAGCATCATTTACTAGATCACACAGCAGAGTGCACACGACAAAGAGTACTGCTTATTTATTTAACAACCACCAAATGCTTTCTATTTTACTACAAAGCTATTTATTTCTACATTGTATTTATTTTTTCATGAGTGGAATCATTGTGGAATTGATTATTTACACAACCTTATGGATTTCTTGCTATAGATTTTGAGTCTTAAGAAATACAACAAAGCAATTACAATGACAATTTGGATAGCAATTCTTACTTTATGGATATTTGTCCATAATGTTAAAACAAATGAAGAATTCATATTTAATAAATATATTTTTGACATAACCTAAATATCACTAACAGTAGGTTTTCAAAAACTTTTGTCAGCCAAATGGGTGCCATATAAACTATAGTTTGTCATAACCTTGATTTTTAAATATAGTTCATATCCTAGGTTATCTGTTGAAAAAGAGATCATGTATTAAGGGGAAGATAGGATGTTGAAAATGAAGTTTTAATCTCAGATATCTCCCAGCATCCCACAAGGCAATCCTATTGACATTTTATTTAAGAAACAAAAACTATTCAAGCAAAAGCTGCCATGCTACTTGGAAAACTAAAAAAAAAATTACTTGGTGTAATAGAAGGGCATGCCTATTTAGTTCCCACATTATATGTGTTAGGTTTCCTTATCATTCATTTTACTTCACTAATAAAAATAGAAAAATCTCAAAACAAATGAATGTAAAAAGTCAAACTAAAGTGACTTCCCCACAAATATCAACCAAATGCAATTGTGAGTCTGTCATTAAGTATATATCATGGGGTATATTTATTCACAGGAACAGAACACTCGTAGATTTATCATGCTTTCATTTTGTTAAAATTGAACTCTGAGATATAACAAAAGCTAGGTTTTGTGCACACATTTCTTTTCTTTTCCAGGATAGCATTTGATGCTAATTCAGACACCATGCTTCTGAATAATCCAAATTGGGAAATCTCTGTGACTGTTAATAAAAGGCTATTTAATGACTGGATTTATATAATTGGTACCGAGGTTTCATGTCCCTATCCCAGTATGTTTATGTATTAGTAATGGCTCTTGTTCAGTGCATGTCTTCATGACTGTGACTCTTGATCCTTTGTGTGAAAATGGACCAGCTGTTCATAACTGTTCAATAAAAGCAATTTAAAGAAGAATTATTGCAATATTCTTTTATTAAGATAGCTTGAATATTTGGGTGTATATGCTGTGCTGTGTGTGTGTGTGTGTGTGTGTGTGTGTGTGTGTGTGTGTGTGTGTTGGGGGGATTGAGCTACAGAGAGATCAGGCTTGGAAGCAAGCACCTCTACCCCTGAGACATCTTGCTGTCCCTGTTAACTGTTCATTTACTACCTTCTGGGAAAAATGTTAAGTTTCTCAAACATGAAAGAAAAGACAGTTAGAATGTGTTCTACAGTGAGTCCAGACCACGTGGTCAAGTATCCCTAACAGAACTGTAAGTTCAGTTTGTGAGCAAACATTTTAGAAAGGACATGGTTTAAATAAATTTTAATGGAGCCTGAGTTCTAGAGCAAAATTCCCAGAGATGCATGAATGTTAAAAATACAGGGACTATGGCTATGGGTGTTCCCCTGCCCAGTGAGATGAAAAGGATTGTTTCTGTATATTGTTTATTTAAGGGTCAGTCTTCCCAGAGACTAAGCAAAAAGAAAAATTCTGATGCTTGTTTAAATTGAAGAGAAAGATGTCCATCAAAAGAGATGCAGTGGATGCCACAGTGTCAAGGAGAAAGATTGACTTTATCTCTGCTAAACCTGAGCTTGGTTGGCTGAGATAGGTTTTGTCAACAAGAGGGCTCAGATGAGTGTAACCAAGTGTGTAGTGAAGGTAGGAGTCTTTTCTCACACATACGAGACAAAATTGGCTGAATGGTGTGATTCCATTCGGGGATATTTGGAGTCTGTAAACCGAGGAGAAGTGTGAAGATACATTATCTTTCCCTATACTATCTGCAAAGAAACAAAGAATTCATGTAAGTAGTATTGTAACACGATGTAACATTAAACAGAATTTAAAAAATTCAGTCAGATGAAATGAAAAGAGAAAGGTGGAGAGTGGTGGAAGTCAGAGGAAACCATGAGAAGCCAGAATGTAGTGATTACAGTCAGAGTCAGAGGACATAATCACCGATTCGCATAAGGAAGTTACAAAAGGAGTTGACTTGGGAGAAGAGATAATAAGTTCAATTAAGACATGTTGAGTGTGAGGCAATAACATAGCACATAAGTGACAGTCATGAAGTAATCCTGGAAGGGTTTGGATATTCATGGTGAAAATACAGGATTCAATGCACATACTGGCAATTAAATTCTTAGACTTGGAGGCCACGATCCACCTTGTATCCTTTTACCCCATTCAGTGGTTGTAGATGTTCATTGATTGAGCAGCTACCGTGTGCTAAACCCCCGCCTTCAATTTCTTCTTATTCTTTTTGTCTTTTTCTTAACTGTCTTTGTGGTAGGTGAGGAAAATGATCCTCTTGATTATTTAGTGTTCAGTCAAGGGCAGAGATCACATCACTACCTATAAAAATCCTACTTACTGAGATTCATTCCAAATAAAATTTTGCCATGAAAATTTGAGTTCCACTTCTCAACTGCCACAGATCTTTGTGCTGGTAACCATGGAAGCTGTCACTTCCTACCAGGTTACATGTGTATGTCCCCTGGCTGACTTTAGTTATTGAAGGCCAGAAATCATGCACTGCCTACACACTTAATTTCACAAACAGCATTCTGCACAGTGACATGCCATGATTTCCATAGACATCTAGTAGTTTATGAGTGAACTGAGAAATGCCAACAAACTCAGAAAGAATTACAGGATAAGTATAGAGGGACAAACAATACTCATAAATATTACCTGGTGAGTACTAGCTCTAAGTGCTCATTTAGTAAAAACCAACAAAACAAAAAGACCTAACAGCGTCAAAGAAGAAAGAGATGGAGGGATAAACTTTTAGAGGAGAGGGAAGAATGCTCTAAAAAGAAGTATGGCATGAGGAAAATGTGACAGTGAATCTCCCCTTCCCTCTCTTAGCTTTAATTGGCTTTAGTGTGTATTAGCAGTAAATGAAGATGCCAGTGAGTCCATCTTGCAATAGGCATCTCTCTATCCTCTAAAGTTGGAAAAAACGACTTTGTGGTGAGAGGATGAAAGTGACTTTAATATGGAGAGTGGTATCAGAGCCATCAGTACAGACCCCAGAGGAAAAGCAGCAGCTGGGCTGACTTAGAGCTGTTGCCTAGTGTAAAATGGAAGCCAAGGTGGCAGAGGGGTATCTCAGTGTGGCCTAGTCTACAGTGGGAACTCTTTGGGGAGTTGGTCACCAAGCTCTATTCTCTGAAGTGTCGTGGAATATTCCTTTACACTGTGTGAAGATGTGTCACTGTCATTGGTTTAATAAAGATCTGAATGACCAATAGCTAGGCAGGAGGTGTAGGCATGACTTCTGGACAGAGACGGTTCTGGGGAGAGGAAAGGCAGAGTTGCTAGCCAGAGGTTGAGGAACTAGGGTGGGCAGGAGAAGGTGAAGGTAACTGAGCCATGAAAAGGAACATAGATTTAAAAATCCGACTTAACTTATGTTATAAGAGCCAGTGGGACAAGCCTAAGATAGGGCCAAGCTTTCAAAGTTAATAAATTTCTGTGTATATATTTATTTTATTTATTGAGCTGGGGGCCCAAAGAAAACCTGACTTTACAAATATGAGTGACAACTTTGCTTACTTTAGTATTTAGTTTCTTATAATAAAAGGAAATTTATTTAAAATTTGACTATTGGGGTTAAGGGACTTCTTCTGTGATCAGTACAGTCACTTTTGCCAGAGGACACAGCTGGAAGGGTATAAGGGCTTCTGAGGAGGGATTTGACAATGACTTGAGTATTTTTCTCTTCACTCCTCTCCTTCCTCCTTATCTCTTCCAATATCTACTCTCTTCTTTTTCTTGTGTATTAGGGACTGAATCCCACTCCTTACTTGTGTAATTACACCCTCAATCTCTCAGCTACACTCTCAGCCCTAATCAAGTCTTTTGAACCTCCATTCATCTTTGTTATCTTAAGTTTTTTTTAAAGTCTAGTTTGCCGTAATAAGCACCATGACAAAAGGCAACCTAGGGAGAAAATGTTTTATTTGTTTACATGTCATAAGTCATAGTCCTTCAATGAGGGAAATCGGGAAAGAAACTTGAGGCAGGAGCCTTGAGTCACAAACTAAATCAGAAACCATGGAAGAACACTAGTTACTGGCTTGCTCCCAATGGCTTACTCTGCTTGCTATTCTATACAGCTCTGGACCATCCATAATAAGCAGAACTCTCCCATGTCCATCATTAATAATCATCCACAGACATGTCCACAGGGCAGCTTGATGCAGGCAATTCTCAGTTGAGATTCTCTCTTTCCAGATGTGTCAAAGGTTGAGTCATTGACAAAAATCCAACCAGCAGCAATATGTATCTCACTGAACCTGGAATGTATGGATTCAAGTAGACTGACTTGCAGCAAGCCCTGAGAACCTTCCCACTTCTTCCTCTCCAGCACTGACGTTCCAGGTGTGTTCCATCACCCCTGATGTTACATGGGTGCTGGGGATCCAAACCTCAGGTCCTCACAGTTTCATGGCAAGCACTTTTCCAACTGAGCCATCTCCCCAGTCCCTCCAGGTAAATGTTATTACAAAGACAATCATCATGCATCTATAGCTCAGTCTTAAGAACAAAGATATTTGGGCCAGGTGTATTTGGCACTGGTGCTGTGATGAAGTTCTGGGTTTGATGAACTCTCTCTCTTTGTCTCTCATACACACACACACACACACACACACACACAGAGGGGGGATAATCACATTCTTTTCAGAAACTTTGAAAGACTTGTGACAATATTTTAATCCTTAATAAATTATGTTTTAAATTCTCCACAAGTGGCTAAAGAAGATATAATTCAACTATTATTTTTCTTGTGAAAAAATGATGCCCAGAAGTTGACATACTAAATAATTCTTTAAGATCCTAAAACCAGAGCTCCAGTGTGTAGACATATTTAAAGTAAGCCAAGTGGTACATATTCTTTTAGCTTTAAAGTGATGACTCTTGTGGTAAATGATTGCCCAAGCTGTAATGAGTACAACAAGCTCGTGCTTGCGTGGTTTCTAAAGCCAAATTCTTATTTGAATATAGAAAGTCATCCTTTCTGATAAATATAATTTGCTTGGTGGACATGATTCACATGATAACCAACCTTGAACAAGTTTTTAAGGTTCAGAAAACATAAGCAAATGAAATTCCAAGTAGAAAGGCACACCACTTCAGCAAACCATTTCATAAATATTCAATGTAATTTGGGAAAGGTGAAAATTTGCAAGTAGCCCCTACAGTTTAAACAAAAAGGCACAGGCAAAATTACATATTTGGGTTTTTATAATATCATTTTAATCACTGATGGGTCAACAGTGAGACAACCTTGAGTGCTGTATGAAATTCAACCTAGATATTCATTAGATATACCCAGATTAGAGGCTACCTCAATGAAGGGTCTATGATTACTATTGCCACCATATATAGTTCAATATTATTAATGCATTGATTCTGGGCAGACTATCATGGGGCCAGACTTAAATACTGCTGTTCCTAGAACTTAGCAGTCCATCCCATTTCTTCATAAAGCATTAAATGCCAGGATGACATAAAAGTTATAGTATTAGAAGTAATTTTACTTAACAAAACTTATCATGAATACAGCTAAGTAAGAAAACAAAAATGGAATACTACACATACTTTTATACAAATTTGATTCTTCTTTATAGCCATATTAACAAAATATTTTTATTTTTAAAATACCCACTCACTATTTTTTTCAGCAGCTATAATGAAAGGGGATAGAAGTGACTGTCAAATCCGGTACTTTCACTGATCATAACAGGTTATCCACTCCAGTGGTTTGCAGATATCTTGGCTGTGGTCCTTCTTAACCTATTAAGAAGCCATGGTTCGGTTCAGTTCATAGGAGCGGGCACTTTTCTGCATTTGCGTTCGTTTTTGTTGTTTTTAAGAACTTTTGTGCCCGCGATTATGCCCACAGGTGACAGGAAACGAGTGTTTCAAGAGGAAATTTGATCACATCTCTAGATAACACAGGTATCCTAAACAAGTGTGCGAGTGCCTGCAGGCTTCAGACTGCTGCCAGGAGCACATAGTTTTTGGATTGGTAAGAACTGCCAAATGACGCTTCATGAAATATAAATGGAGGAAAGACTCAGAGAGCGCAATTAAAAACCTTCCACCCTTCAGTCTCTGAGGACCAGGGAAAGAAGTTCAGCGGCTACAGGATATGGCTTTGGGGGTTGCAATGGCAGTCTGCCTCCTGTTCAAAGGTAGGCTACTTCCTTTCTGATTTGTTAACTCTGTACGAGATCAGAGCAAGGAATGTGTGGATTAATCGGGTCTTTATGGAATAGATGCTCTTTCTTCTCCCTGACATGATGGCTTTAAGGAATTGAAGTGCACTTGATAGCAGCTACTGTGCTGCTGCAAGCTGTGTGTGGTAATTGACTTAGCATGCAAATACAGAACTTACTCCTAAGAATGGGTGTATTTCAGTGTTCCGTAACCGTAATATTGTCGATGAGACAGCTAAAAAGTAGTCTGGAATTGCCCTTGTCAGGTTCTGGATCCCATCAAACATAACGAGTTAAAACCAAACAGAAAATGGGAATCCCCAGACTAAGACCGGCATTGGAGCTCTTGTTTATGCACAAAGGAGACTCACCTGTGAAAGATGCTTTTCCCCCACCATAGCAATGGCGGCCGGGCTGACAGAAGAAGATGACGTGCGTGTGATGCCTTCAAGCACGAAGCAGCAGCGCAACTGGACAGTTAACGACACAGAAGGTACTTCCTTGCCATTCTAATTCAAATGCCATCTTTGAAACCGTTGACAGAAAGTTGAATTGTGATAGAGACAACACTGGAAAAATTTGTAACCGTGTTTTATAAGATAATCAGCTATTTCGGAAAGATGATGTTAAGATGAAGTGACAGGTAGATGTGCCAGCAAAGGGTTGCTTTGTTGTTTTGTTAAAGGAGGAAGGGAAGCAAGGGTGAGAAAACCTGCCTGTCTTCAGCTGCTTTGCTGAATGTGAGACATGCCATAGGCTCTGCTTGGATTCTGCTCGACTCCTAGTGACCCGAGGTAACCAGTGTAATTGCATATGACCTTGACATTCTTGAGGAGGGTGATCTCTGACAGTGAGCTTAGCAACCACAGAAATTATAGCTACAAGAAGCAGTGCTTTTCCTGACCTTTGGAAAGGTCTTTTCTTATTGCTTATTGTCCTTTTAGCATATGCTGCATGTTCTAACCTCTTCCACCCAGTTTTTTGTTGCTGATGGTGGTCATATACTTTCTTTCTATCTGACTGTGCATACCATAGAGGCTTCTGGATGTGCTGAGCCCGGCATTGAGGAACAGCTTCTAAACCTATTTGAACTACAGATGAACTTGGAAAACTCCTTGCCTATCAAGACCTGTGTCTGAATGGCTTTGACTCCCTCACAGATCTCATCATGTCCCCTGATGTAAAGGCTATGTTTGTGATCAGGACATAGGAAAATCCTTATCTTGATTTCAGGGTCTAGTCAATAAAAAAGATGAAGCCAAATAGTTCATTTTTTAAATATTAAAGATAGTAATATCTAATTGATTCCCTTTTCCCCAGTAATTTTAAACACTGAAGTTGTCCTTTTGATTTTTGAACATCAATTTGTAAAACGGAATGTGCAGAAAATTTAAAGGCATGGTTTCATGTTAGTGGCAGATGGCATAGATGTGGTTCCAGCCCCCCCCATCCCACCCTTTTCCTCTCTCTCATAATGCTGAAAGAGCTGCAAATGAAATATTAGATAACAACGGAAACAAGGAAGGAATGGAGAAGCTATGATATATTTTTCCTTTCCATTCTTCCTGGAAAATATTTGTATTTTTTTTTCTTATTTTGTTGCAATGCTGGCATGGACTCCAGGGCCTTGTGCATGCTAAGCAAGCATTCTACAACCATGATGTAGTCCCTCATTTTACTTTCCATATATAATGTAGTCCCTCGTTTTGCTTTCCATATATAATGTAGTCCCTCGTTTTACTTTCTATATATGATGTAGTCCTTCATTTTACTTTCAACTTAAAAATATGAATCATATCTTTTCAATGTTTTTAATAAAGTTATAACTAATATTCTTCTCCACGAAGGAAGAATGAGTCTCTCTGGAGTGCCCTTACTTTGGAAATTATGTTTTTCAAATTCTCAGTGTCTCCAAATCAGTTCCTAAAGGGATAAATTACGTTTAAGACACCACAGTCGGCAAATTGAATGTCAATTTTAAATTCTTGTGTGTGTTTTCAAAGCAAAGTGATATGGTGTCCTTTTGGTACTCTGGTGTATAGACGTTTAGTATTTTTCACATGAAAATGGATGTTTTAGGTCTGTTTTTCCCCTGAAGACACATAAGTAGGATCCTCTCAGTCTCTAGAAATGTACATATGGTATAGCATGAGAGATAGCTAATAGTAAGGAGGTGTACTCTCTCACTCAATACACGCCACTAATTCTGCTTAAGAAAGGCTTGAAATTGGCAAGGATTCAATTGTGTAGCTGTTCCTAAGATTCTTTACCACTGCATAGGCACCAAGGACGGCACCAACCAGTATATGTTACACCTGGCATTCCAGAATCAGTGGCATCATGAAACACGGATTTTTCAGAGCAGACTTTCCTAATGTGGGTGTCTCACAAGGAGGTTTCAGATCACTAGACTGTGCACTGTGGTCATTTTTGCAGTAAAAAAAAAGAAATAAAATCTGTCTCAGATCCCACCTCTGTGGCTCTGCAAATACTTCACAACACCTCTTAACATAGAACTGTCACATAGTATGTAGTGGTGTTGCCATTGGCTGTGTCTACCTGAGCCCCACATTGGTATTGGTTTCTTATATCAGTCATAACAGTCCCTTGCTGGTCAGTCAGTGAGAACGTCCCCTGTCTAATTAATACCTCCTGGCAGTTTGTGGGAGAGTGAAAGTGGATTCTCATCCTTTCTTCTGGAGAGGGAATAAATATCTACTATAGAGCAAAGTTACATCTAGGGCTCCCTAGGTGCTGCCTTACCCATGTGGGGGAAATGCAAAGTGATATGAGGCCTTCTTTCCAATTAGCATTGGGTGCATGCCTGAGAAACACTGTTCAAAACTGGCCTGCTAAACTGGAACCAATGCTGCCACCTTTCGACCAACTCACCTCTGTGCTTTGTTATTAGCTTCCAAAGAATGGGCCAATCATCAGTCCACCTCCACCCTGCAATTAATTGACTGCGTGTGTAGAGACATGAATCCAACCTTTTGGACAGAGCCCCCCCACAAAAATATTTCAAATGACAAAGACCCTAAAATATTCTAAAAATAAAAGGTCTCTTTACACATGCATTGAACGTGTATTGTGAAAGTAGGGCCCACTTAAATGCTAATACTGCATCTCCTTTTTCTAGTTGACTACATGGAAGGACCTGTAGCTTTGAAGTTCTCCCACCCTTGTCTGGAAGACCACAATAATTACTGCATTAATGGAGTGTGTGCATTCCACCGTGAGCTGAAGAAAGCCATTTGCAGGTAACTGTGAGGAACTCAGCAAGTCTTAAAGACAGAAGAAAATGGTGGACATAGCACAGCTCCAACCATTCTGTTTTGTCCAGTAAAGATAGTGTTTGGTAGCCAATTGGTATGCACTTCCCTCTCAGCATTCCTGATAGAATTTTGGGGAGCAATTGTGTATACTGTCTTATCATAAGCAAATGGGGGAAAATTTGACTTCTTCCTTTCTAAATTGTATCCCCTTGGTGTCCTTTGGTTGTGTTATTCCTTAGTTACCTACAGCTTTTTGGGCAGAGCGAGACGTCCTGAGTCCTCCCTAGTCCACATTAGCTTGTCTACTGATGCTGTCATTGTTCTGGTGAGACCTCATGGGTGTTGCTTCTGCCATTTCTGGGAGACATGTTCTCACAGCAAACTCCCTTTTCTTCTTAGGAACAGGGAAGTACTCAGAGAAAGGAGCGAGATGGGGATCTCATTTTATTATAATCTTGAAAAATAATAAAAAGAATAAGATGATAAATTGTCAAGAAAATGGGGAAATATTGGAAATATTGCTTGATCTGAATGTATTTGAATATGAAGAAGTCTTTTTTTTCTAACCTTCTTATCCATATTACTCAATACTGTAGTTCCCACACTATAGCATGTGTGGAACCTGAGCTTGTTAGGAATGCTGACTTTAATATTCTGTAAGTATCGTGTCAGTGTCTGCATTTCTAGCAACATGGGAAGATGACTCTGGACTTTTATAGGTTGGCAGGATGAGACAGAGTCTCACAAAGAGAAAATATACTCAGGAAGATGAAGGCCGGAGCTGCCGTGATCTTATTTTTGGCCCCCGATTTGCTCACTTTCTTGACAAGCACTCTACCTTTCCTTCCTAGCAATGAGGGGTGTGCGAGGCCTCACTGAAAGGACTGTAACACACAGGCTGGTTCATTCATGGACTGTAACGCACAGGCTGGTTCATTAATGGACTGTAACACACAGGCTGGTTCATTAATGGACTGGCCCCCACGTGCCTCTGTCAATCTCTCTCCTCTCTCATTCTTTGAAGTGCAGCACCGGTTTGTACTTCTGTCATTGTAGGCTTTAAGGTCGTATATTCTTTTCTCCCTTTAAAGGTGCTTTACTGGCTATACGGGAGAAAGGTGTGAACATTTGACCTTAACTTCATATGCCATGGATTCTTATGAAAAATACATTGCAATCGGAATTGGAGTTGGATTGTTAATTAGTGCTTTTCTTGCTGTCTTATATTGCTACGTAAGAAAAAGGTATGGAAATGACCTAAGCATTAAATAGGTTGTGTGTGTTCACTTGAAAAATGTTTATTGACTCCATACATGTGTGTCTGAGAAGACCCTCTGTCACATTTTTGGTGCCTTTTCATGAACCCAGACAGGTGGTAAAAATTACCTTCAGATGCAATAGAATAGTGCAAATTTACAGTTTCCTTTTTTCTTGTTTATGTTTGCCTAAGTCAAAGTTCTAAGTGGGAAGGCTAGCAGCCCTCTAGAAGACAGAGATTAAATTATCTTACTGATGATTATATATTTAATGTCTAATGATGCATACATATTGTTGCGTGAAAAGAAATTTAAAAGCTGGGCAATGGTGGTGTACAGGTTTAATCCCAGCACTTGGGAGGCAGAAGCAGGTGAATCACTGTGAGTGTGAGGCCAGCCTGAGATACAGAGAGAGTTCCAGGAAAGCCAGGGTTACATAAAGGAATCCTCTCAAAAAAACAAAAAAAGTTAAGAAATGCTCATTAGATAAATGTAAATATCTGAATGGGCCACTTTCACCATAGCCATCAAGGGGAATATTCTACTGCTCAAAGTCCTATATCAACTTTATCTACAAAAGTTTCTTAGTTACATATGTACCATATTATTTCAAGTTTTCCCCACTCTGGTTATTGTTCTTTAAATCCACACAACTGAGAAAAACTCTAAAATTAATGAGAGATACATTAAGAACAAAAATATTTCCTCTGTGATACTTTCACTATTCCCACTTTAAGAAATGACTAATATTCCATGATCAAAACTAGAAGGGAGGAGGAAGAGGAAAAAAAGGAGGAGGAGAAGTATGAAGAGGAGGAGAAAGACTAAAAAGAGGAGGAATAAAAAGGAGGATTGAAGATCCGTATGCATTCATAAGCTTGGCATGGAAAGTCAGTCTCTCCAGTAGAAGTATCTGAAATAGAGGTGATGGCTGTGGGTGGTACCTAAGACAAAACCTATAGTGAGGTAAGGAAAGCAGACAGCACAGCCTGAAGTTGCCAAGCAAAGATGAGGCTTTGGCTCCAGTGGCGTCTGGGCCTGATTCTATAGGAACAGAGAGAATGTGAACAGCATCATAGACCTATCCCAAAGAAGAGTGGCTCTTGGATGGATATATATGTATATATATCATTTTACATGCCAACCACAGTTCCTCCTCCCTTCACTCTCCCCACCTCCCCTCACCCACCACCATCAACGACTCAGAAAGGGTAAGGCTTCCCCCTGGAGGGTCAACAAAGCCTGGCAAATTCAGTTGAGGCAGGACCAAGTCCCCTACCCCCACATCAAGGCTGAGCAAAGCATCACATCACATGAAATGGGCTTTAAAAAGCCACCTCATACACCAGGAATGGATCCTGTCCCCACTGCCAGGGGTGCCACAAACAGACCAGCCTACAAAACTGTCAATCACATGCAGAGGTCCTGCTTTGGTCCCTTATAGGCTCGCCAACTGTCAGTCTAGAGTCTGTGAGCTCCTACGAGTTCTGGTCAACTGTCTCCGTGGGTTTCCCCATCATGATCTTGACCCTAACTAAGACCTCTAACAATAGTGGAGAGGGTGCCTAAACTGGTCTTCTCCTGTAATCATATTGGGGACTACCCTAACTGTCATCATAGAACCTTCATCCAGTAACTAATGGAAGCAGATGCAGAGATCCACATCCAAGCAACAGGCTGAGCTACAGGAGTCCAGCTGAAGAGAGAGAGGGATTATATGAGCAAGGGGGCTCTTGGCTTTAATATTCTGTATCAAGCAATCATAGGGTCATGATGCTCACAGTGGGGTAGTGATCAGGGTCTCACATTCTGTTAGCAACTTGTTGGCAAGGTACTCTGTTGGCCATGGGTAATCCTCTAGAGCAGGATGCTATTTTTCATGGGTTACTTCCTGCTACTGTCAGTACAGTAGTGATGCATCGGTCAGTAGACAAATGCCGTCTAGGTAGAGTACTGAGAGCAACTGCTTCAGCATCACATTTGTATGTATAATCCATAATGATAAACACAGACAAGCACTACTATGGAAACCAATGTTCTCTCTGTTTTAGGTGTGCAAATCTGAAATCACCTTACATCATCTGCTCTGCGGGGAGACCACTGTGAGACCTCATAAGGCATATTCAAGTCATTTGACTAAAACCATGGAGACTCCAATGAAGCTCCTCAGATGACTCAGAATGTGACAAGGTAACTTGAAAATAATGGTGGTTTGGGTGACAATGCAGTAAAAGGATAAAGCTGAACATTGATTCTTAGATCTTGCCATCTTTGGGGCCAAAGAATCTGTGTGAACAAGCTGCACAGAAGCCGAGTTTACAACTCTACTTTGACTTTTATTGTGTGGTCATTGTCACCTCAGAAGGACTTGTTCCGTGTTTCTGATCATCTCAAATGTGAGTTTTCACTTGAATTGTTTACCCCACATCAAGTCAAAGTAATGCCATGCCTGGGTTCTTCATGTCTTCAACATTTTGGGTCACATATTTAAATGGACCAGAACCTAAACCTTTGGTCCTCATGCTTTTTCAAGGAATTTGTTATCAGCTTTTAAATAAGGCCAATGAATGGTTCTTTGAGTGAACAGAAGATGTATTCAGACTGGACCACTGAAAGAAAATGGAGTAACCAAGGCAAGCATAAATCATACCCAGCTTGTGACAACTGAAAGTCACTTGGACAGCAAGTTCTGAGTAGGCAAAACTGCCATTTCTGTAGGGATTATAAAACCTTGTGTTGGGCTAATCTGTCCCCTGATGCTTTTACTTGTCATGTCATCCTTCCATAAGAAGGCTCACCTGGTGATCATCACTTGAACTGAAGTCCTAGAATTCGTCTAACAACTAAAAGCCTCCAACTAGTCCAAAAATGGAAACTGAAAACTATATAGAGGACAACAGTATGTGGAATGTTATCATTTTTTGATTGATTGATTGATAATGTATTTACACATAGGTAAAAATGGAACAATGGTAGACATACTTATTTGGGAATCAATATCTTTTGAATTGTGTTTCTGCCACATGATCCAGTCTTGGGCAAATTGTGTACTTTCTTTGAACTTTGGTTGCATTTTCGACAATATCCTTATAACTCTAAAACTGAACTATAGGAGAAGAAAAAAATCCCTCCTATATCTGTATTGCAAGTGAGATTATCCTCAACACTTCCATTATCAACCCCATCTCTAACCCCAAAGTACCCCCTGAATATTATCCTTAGTATATATTTTAATGTTCAATTTATAAAAAAAATAATTTATTTTTAGGGTAAATACAAAATAAATTTACAGAGTAATAACAGCTGCTTTTTTTCCTTTCTGGATTTAATCCAAAACTATGGGCTTATTTCTTTTTCTCATAAGCAGAACAATTTGATCGTGAGATTAATTAGCAACCAGTCTTCAGCCCAGTGCATGTACTGATGTAGCCTTCGGTCCACACTTTAGGTACACTATGTTGGGCTTTCCTTGAGAGAAGTTATTTCCTTGGCTTTGTCTTTCCTCCAGAGAGAATGTAATGCAGCTGTGTTGCGGATCAGCACTTTCAGCATGTGGGAAGTTGCATCATGTCAAGGGGTGGGGAGTGATGGTTCCACCCAGTGACTCCAGCAACCACACCTAAAAAGCTTACCTCTTCCTGAGCATTTCAAAAAGATGTAGAAAATGCCAACGGGGTCCAGGAAGAAACACTGGGGGCCCACATTCAATTGACCAAGAACTACCTCTTGAGGAAAAGAAAGAGGATTTCTCTGCTACCTCTGGAGAAGAGACACCATAAATGGTCACACACGTCTACAGTCTGAAAGTCCTTACTGACTTCACACGTGGTAACCTGAAATTAGAATTTGTTATGACTTTCAGATAGCCAAATCAAAATGTTAACTGAAACAGTAATATAAATCCAATATTCTTCACTTACCACACACTATTTATTAGCAATATAAAACACACCCAGCAAAACAACCCAGAAACTCAGAGCACAGTATATGAAAGCTTTCTGTTTATGGGCTAGTGTATAAAATGATCTTGTGATCTTGCAGCTACTGGGGTTCCTTTTGCAGCAAACAATCTCTGTTATGCCTACAGAGCCAGAGCAACATCTGCGCACATGAGAAAAGCTGAAACATATATGCAAGAAGATACTGAGAAGAACAAATCAATAAAGCCTTTGCCTCAGAACTGCATTTTCAACTACGTAGGTGGATTATACAATGCTATGTTTCTGGTGTCTGTGACAAAACCAAACAGTCCAAGAAGTCTGACTTCTTTTATTCTCCTGTTTCACCTTGCTGTGTACACCTTTCAGTTCTTTGAGACTACATTCTTAGGTCATCTACATTTACGAGTACATTATTATGTAGTACTGTAGACTCTGAGAAGGGTGAGGCAAGCCTGTAATGTCAACCATACCAAGCTAATAACTTTACAAAAAAAAAGGATTTACAATAGCTTGTCACTGTAACCCAAGTTAGCTTTTTATTTTAATCATGTTTTCATAGGATGAAATTATAAATTAATCCATCTTTTAGAGTTTCCTATGACCATGCACATCTAATCCTTTAATTTTGTTGTGTCCATTTTGGTGATGTCAGTAAGACTTCCCTTCATTATATTTAATTGAAAAAATGTCTTAAGAAAATAAAAGACAAACACCAGGAATTTAAGCTGTTGATGTGAAATACAAAGACAATTCATGTATTCAGAAGACTCGGGAGCATTTAACTTCTCTTTGTTACAAAACGTTACATACTCTCTGCCTGTGACATAAATATTGATAGCTTGCAACCCACACTCATGGGAAGGGTTACCAGAATCTCTATTGCAAAATACCACTCTTTCTGAATTACATCATTGGCTGATGACATCAGGCATGAGCACCTGCCAAGACGATGTGGAAGTGTTGAAACTGGATTTGTCAGAGTCTGGCACTGTGAATCTTGGTGAGTCCACATTTCCATCCAAACCTTTGGTTCAGGTCTATCCAGTACCACATCTAAGAGCATACCTTTCAAGTCCTGCGTGATAATTCTGTTAATTATTCAAATTAATCGATGATCCTGGAAGACTCTGAGCAACTGGTGACCTAAGAATGCCAACCTTGAGAAGACCCATGTTTTAAAAATTGTGTGCTGTCCTTTGATTTCATGTCTTTGTATAACCTAAATGGGAAAGATTGTGGGCAACATGTGCTGTTTCCAGACAATGTCTTGTCAGGGATAGGAATGCCATTACATGATAAGGAGACTAGCCTTGCTCTGTCAAGTCTTATCTAAACACCTCATGGCCTTTTTCTCATTTTTATGGCTCAGATACAGGCACAAAATGCATACAGCACAAGTATAGAGACTGAAATTCAGTTAAAACCAAAGACAAGTGGCTGCATCCAACAGTATTTTTGATTCTCTAGATGTTAATGAGAAGTCAGGCTTAGCCATGGATGACTGTAATCCCAGCATTTAGAAGGCAGAGGGAGGCTCTTAAGTCTTCAAGGCTAGCTTGGGCTACTTATCTAGACTGTCTCAAGAGATCAAAACCTTAGTCCCCCACCCCTAAAACATTGAGCCATAGGTGTTTCTGGAAAACACCTTTAAAATTGCACAACAGTATTAAATAAATATAAAGTTCTTTAACAAATCAAGGGGCACATGAATGTCCTGGTGCTGCCATTTATGAGCACTTACAAGATCACAGAAGCATTGTTTTAACTTATCTGATAGACCCATGGTTAATTGTGTAGACTTGTTGGAGGACACAGAGCTTTCAGCTCTTTTGTCTATGCCATAGCCTGCATGATGTTTCCCAACAGTGTATGGAAACTTTGCACTGTGGGTAAACTTCTTGGTGAACCTAGAGAGGTGGCCAAGCGATCTGCAAATGTCAGCCCTTTTCTTTATATATATATATATATATATATATATATATATATATATATATAAAAGTCTTTGTCACAGATCAACCATAGAAATTCCCTACTGTAATCTTCAGATTAAGATATGCATACCATCTTCAGGGTGGGGCCAAAAAAAAAGTGAAGAGACTGCTGACTGACAGGAAGAGTCCACAGACTACAGAAACTGAAGACTGTAATTAAAGCCTGCCTTTTCCGTCAAGGGACAGAGAGGTCACTTGAGAATATTTTAAATCATCTATGGACAAGTGTTGTCTGGCACTGTTAACTTCAATGGCCATATCCGACTGGGGTTGGTGACAGGCAACAAGTGAGGCATCAAGCTGTCAGTACAATTTAGTAGAAACCCTGTTCCTCTCCATTACCCTTACTCCAAATTGCCTCTTAGAGGAAGATAGTAGACTTTGATGGAGCAAGTTAAGACAAAAATTAGAAATATGAAACATCTGTGTAATGACTGTCACTCTAGTTCCCTGGGTTCCAATGCAGTCCTGGGCCTGTTTAACTTCACGGGGTCCATTGGATATGATGTCCTGCTAAATGGAGAATTAGACTATAAAGATGACTTCCCTGTTCCCTCCTGGCTATAAGAAAAATGAAGAAAAGGTGAAAGCTATCTGGGAGATCCCACCAACAGATATCAGGCATTATTTTCTTTAGCTTCCATATGCTTGTTTTAAAGCAAGCCCACATTTAGAAGCCAAGGTATTTCCTGTGAAGAGAATGCACCAAACACCAATTGTGTCTTCTTTCAAGACTGTGGATAGAAGTGTGTCCTCAGCGTCAAACATCTTCTGGTGCCCAGGCTGCCAATTCAAGGTTCTCAGGAACCTTTAAGCATGGCAACTTGGTTGTTTGGATTGCTGTGTCTTTCCTCATCCAAATTCCCTGAGTCTAGTCCTAAAAGCCCTGTAGGGGGCACTGTTGCACTGCAAACCTCACAGATCAGAGGCACCCTCAGATCAAAGACTTGCCCAGGAATGCACTTGGTAGGGGAACCCACACTCACCTGGGAGCTGGCAGGGTGGCATCTGATGACTCAGACACAGCCCTGCCCACGCCCTCAGCTGCTTTCTGCTACAGTAGTTGTTGGATGTGTCTTCTTAGCACACCAGCCTGCTAAGGTTACCTCCCAGTTCAAAACTGAGCACCAACTTCTCATATTTCCATACTTAGTGAGCACCCCTCATCCAGCAGTGTGAAGCTTCTCCTCTCCCCTTCCTTTGATTCTGATGCATTTCACAAGTCCTACTAGTGTGTTAGTGTCTTTGGTAGTCCCTCCATATGCTGCAAACAGAGATCAAGAGGGCAACCAAGCATTATAGTTATAATCTTGACTAATTTCCAATAGTTGTAGTAGCAACAATAAGCATCATTCATTAAGACATGGCACAGTGCTAAATAATTTATCTACAATATCTTCCAGTCCTCCAAGACAGCAATAAGAACAGTTTTATTGAACACGGGGGCAAACTGATTAACAGGAAAAGTGTTTTCAGCTTAATAGACTGAGGTTTAGCTCCATCCCCTACAGGTGCCTTACCATGATCTTGGTTTTTTGTTGTGATTTTAGCTGTTTAGTTTTACTTCTTTAATCTCAAGGTTTGCCACTTGTAAGATGGGTGTCATCTGTTCATAGAATAAGTCTCCAGTGATCACTGGGCACTTCCTTATGGCTGTCTTTTGTCAGAGTAGGAACTAAAATTTAGAACAATTAAGCAACATGTTTAGTTCTAACTTGTGGGACTTGGGAGTGATCACAAGTCTATCTACTTGCAAAGTAAGAGGGTGCTAGGATTTCAGAAGCGACTGTATTCAGCAAAGCATGACCTTGGCTAACCTTGATCAAGGCTGTTTAGAGCAGAATCTACAATATCAGTCTGAATTCCAAATGTTTTTCAGTTTTGTGATTGAGAATAAGCATTTCATCCCTTTTAGTCATAACTGGTCCTGTTATAAAGTGGGCAGACTATACAGATAGAATCATTTTAGGATAAAATTAAACTAGATAGCTGATGTATGTAGAATAGCAGGAACATTGCCCATTTAATACATATGTAAAACTCTCGCTATAGTAAGTTTATGATGTGTGACATATCTGTTTCTAAAAATGATCACACCATAAGTGAAGCAAAAATATTTGCAGATTTGCTGGAAAATTGAGATTACAATTTTCAAAAATGTTATCAGCAACATATAAAACAAACAAGAATAATGAAAAGTAATAAGGATGATCATACAATCGTCTACATTCCAGACGACTGAGATATACTTAGATGACACTATAGGAAACATCTTGAAATGACTGACAGTTTGCTTGTGAAAGCAGGGGTTGGCAGGGTTATATATTGAGAGTTATTGTCAA